TAATTACATATTTGGAATTTTAATTTCATTTAATAATTAATTACGGGTCCTGTTTCCATATTGCCACAGTATTTTGCTGATCAGTTCAACTATAAGTGCTTTGCTAATTTTAATGACAAACATCATCAAGATTTTAATCCTTAACTTTCAATAATGCAATAACATTTTAATTTCATGGTTAGCTCATTAGGGTTTGAGAAGCCAGTCACCTGGGATGGCTCATCAACCAGACATTCCATGACTTTGAGCTAACGGTACCGGTCATAGGCCACATACCAGTCCAACTACTGTCAGATGAATATGATGACACCGTAACGGTCACAAGACCCAACGGAACCATTGCCATCACTTCTATTCTGCCGGGGTTGTACATGGACATGTAAAACCGTTTCTGGAGATTTTTTGCCCTAACCTAAGCCACATACCTTCTATGTAGATATCAGAGAGCAATTTAAAATATTGTATCAATGCATTCTATGGCACCTTTAAATGTCCTAATTGAACTATGGCCTAATCCTGGCTTAACCTAAGCCCTGTCTGTGAAACCAGGCCTATGTATTGTAATTTGACTGTTATCCCTACTCTATTCCTAGTCCCCTAGTGACACACCCAAAAAATCATAAAAAGGGGCATGTATTATCATCATTACTGCAATAATACATTTTTACATGCATAATTTTTTTATTTTAACTCATTAAATACTGAAATTAAATATAAAATTTGTTCTAAAAAAATGCTATAAAATAATTGCACTGACATAAACTACTGTTCAAAAGTTTGGTGTAAGATTTTTTAAAGAAATTAAGAACACATTAAATTGATCAAAACTGGCAGTAAAGACATTTATAATGTTACAAAACTTTATATTTCAAATAAATGCTGTTCTTTTGAACTTTTTATTCATCAAAAAATCCTGAAAAAAAAAGTATCACGGTTTCCACAAAAATATTAAGCAGCACAAATGCAGCACTATCAACACTGATAGTAATACAAATTTTACTTGAGCACCAAATCTAGCATATTAGAATGATTTCTGAAGGATCATGTGACACTATGACTGAAGACTGGTGGAAATTCAGCTTTACCATCACAGGAATAAATTATTTAAAAATATATTAAAATAGATAACAGTTATTATAGACTGTAATACATATTTTATCATATTACTGTTTTTACTGTATTTTGATCGAATAAATGCAGCCTTGGTGAGCATAAGTGACTTCTTTCAAAAACATTTAAAAAAATCTTACAGACCCTAATCTTTTGAACAACACTGCACATACAAAAAAGTTAACTTAAAACACCATAAATACCATACCATAAAAACACCATAACTTTCTCAAGTATATTCATCTAAATTTGTAATTTAAAAATAGCTTTGTGGATATCCTATTTTATATTTTGCATGCACATTTTGCAATTGTAATTTTCACAATTAATCGATTGTTAATCTGAAATGACAATCAATTACTGTATGGACATTCTCCCAAACTGGAATACCTTGATTTTCAATGGTTAACAGTTGTGTTCAGTGAATAAAACAACTGAAAGGGCCAATATGACTGTAAAACACCATGCAGAATGTTTTTTAAACTGCTTCCATTAGATTTGCCGCCTGCAACAATACAGTGAGGTGAGGAATGGACTGCCGATATGAGCCATTTGTGGAAGTTTAACAGCACTTACGCATCTCTGTAATTGATGACTGTATCAATGATGGCATTCATCTGTTTCATCAGTTTGGGTGGGTTTGGGGAAAGCTTCTCTGCTGGAGGACGTCCTCTTCTTTTCTTGGCCTTGTCTCCGTCCTCACGCCTCAGGTCTCTGTCCACGTGTCTGCTACGCTTGCGCCTCTTCAGCCGTATTTCCTCTTCGATTTCCTCCAGGTTGCCATCCTCTACAGCCTGCCAGAGGTCAAGTTCAACAGTTAGGGTCATGTTGGGTAGTTAATAATGTGAAGATACATTTTCAAGGGAAATTATGACACGAAAAGTAAAGAAGATACAATTGTTAATTCCTAGACTATATTCACTGTGTACTGGCAATCCGCACGCAGATGTACGTGGTGATACAATCTATATTTCATCTGCCAAAGAAAATTTGGCCAGGCATGTACAGCATTTGAGACTGAAGCCTGTTCATCTAAATCTACTAAATCAAGTGCTGAATAAAATACATGTCAAATAGACAAATGCCATTGGTGTGATTCTACAAATCCAAATTTCACTGATTATGCTACTACGACAGTGAATATTTTATTTGAGGACTTCACCAACTCCTCACAGGCAGCCATCAAAGCCATGTACATTAGCATACATCTAGAAGTAAAAGAAACTACTGGCTATAGAGAAACTGACAATGGGCCCTGATTATGGATCCATTTGGACTTTCATCAGTCTTACAATCTGATATGATTGAAATCAGCATTTGTGCAGAACTGCTCTTAATTAAATCCACCTGTCTGGCATCTCCTCTCCATCCTGCTCTTCCTTTTGTTACACAGATGGATATAGAGGGATTCTCTCATCTTTCAGTCTCCTCTAAACACACATTTGGCATGAATATTTACAGAGAATGAGTCATTTGCCTTCAGTGAACATATTGTATGGTTCATTGCATTTGTGCTGTTGAGTTTGGCCTAACACCTGCCCCATTGTAAAGCAGAACTATACGAGTGATCCTGCTGGGTTCGTCTGCACAGTGAGATTTTAAACCTCCAAATATGCCCAAGAACATTTGTAATTCCACTACCGAATGAGTAAGACTTAATCGAAACAAAGAAATATACAGTAAATCCAACGACTTCCAGAGACGAATCCACTCTCTTTAAAGCAAAACCCATATACCTGTCTTTATTTTTAGCTCTTCTATAAGATTTTCTCTTCTGAAAAAGCACAAAGGTTGGTTATCATAACGCGGCAGGCTTGATCCTCAGTGCAAAGTCAATCAACACACCTGTTATGCAGCTGAACCAGAGCCCTCATTTGAGCATAATACGAATGCACAGAGCCAGAAATGAACAATGAGCAAACAAACAGACCTTAAAGAGTATCCGCTTTTGAAATCAAAACACTTATACGAAAATATATTAATGTGAGAGTTTCAGTGGTGCAATTATGATTTTGACTCTCTACCAAGATGTTATGAAAGAGGGCCCAGGCCTATATCCTACCCAAAACAGCATGTTTTGGATGAATTCCCAAATTAAATCAATAACTAAATTAATCGTGAGTTTGTATTTGTCATCGCAAGCAAATTCAGAAAGTTAATGCCCTGTTTTAAGAAACATATGCCTTCATCCACTTTCAAGTAGTTATATTAAAGGGGACATCGGATGATCATTTTCCACAAGTTGGTATGATGCTTTAGGGTGTTCATGAAATGTCTGTAACATACTTTGGTTAATATTCCTCGTCATGTTGGGTAGTTAATAATGTGAAGATACATTTTCAAGGGAAATTATGACACGAAAAGTAAAGAAGATACAATTGTTAATTCCTAGACTATATTCACTGTGTACTGGCAATCCGCACGCAGATGTACGTGGTGATACAATCTATATTTCATCTGCCAAAGAAAATTTGGCCAGGCATGTACAGCATTTGAGACTGAAGCCTGTTCATCTAAATCTACTAAATCAAGTGCTGAATAAAATACATGTCAAATAGACAAATGCCATTGGTGTGATTCTACAAATCCAAATTTCACTGATTATGCTACTACGACAGTGAATATTTTATTTGAGGACTTCACCAACTCCTCACAGGCAGCCATCAAAGCCATGTACATTAGCATACATCTAGAAGTAAAAGAAACTACTGGCTATAGAGAAACTGACAATGGGCCCTGATTATGGATCCATTTGGACTTTCATCAGTCTTACAATCTGATATGATTGAAATCAGCATTTGTGCAGAACTGCTCTTAATTAAATCCACCTGTCTGGCATCTCCTCTCCATCCTGCTCTTCCTTTTGTTACACAGATGGATATAGAGGGATTCTCTCATCTTTCAGTCTCCTCTAAACACACATTTGGCATGAATATTTACAGAGAATGAGTCATTTGCCTTCAGTGAACATATTGTATGGTTCATTGCATTTGTGCTGTTGAGTTTGGCCTAACACCTGCCCCATTGTAAAGCAGAACTATACGAGTGATCCTGCTGGGTTCGTCTGCACAGTGAGATTTTAAACCTCCAAATATGCCCAAGAACATTTGTAATTCCACTACCGAATGAGTAAGACTTAATCGAAACAAAGAAATATACAGTAAATCCAACGACTTCCAGAGACGAATCCACTCTCTTTAAAGCAAAACCCATATACCTGTCTTTATTTTTAGCTCTTCTATAAGATTTTCTCTTCTGAAAAAGCACAAAGGTTGGTTATCATAACGCGGCAGGCTTGATCCTCAGTGCAAAGTCAATCAACACACCTGTTATGCAGCTGAACCAGAGCCCTCATTTGAGCATAATACGAATGCACAGAGCCAGAAATGAACAATGAGCAAACAAACAGACCTTAAAGAGTATCCGCTTTTGAAATCAAAACACTTATACGAAAATATATTAATGTGAGAGTTTCAGTGGTGCAATTATGATTTTGACTCTCTACCAAGATGTTATGAAAGAGGGCCCAGGCCTATATCCTACCCAAAACAGCATGTTTTGGATGAATTCCCAAATTAAATCAATAACTAAATTAATCGTGAGTTTGTATTTGTCATCGCAAGCAAATTCAGAAAGTTAATGCCCTGTTTTAAGAAACATATGCCTTCATCCACTTTCAAGTAGTTATATTAAAGGGGACATCGGATGATCATTTTCCACAAGTTGGTATGATGCTTTAGGGTGTTCATGAAATGTCTGTAACATACTTTGGTTAATATTCCTCAATGGTCATGTAAAACAACACCCTTTTTACCTTGTCAAAAACAGCGTCAACAGCGACAATCTCTTCCGTGGGGTGTGTCGACACAAGACACGTGAATATATCTGTATATAGCTCAGAGGTAGTCTTAATCAAATAGCTTAGCTAGCCATCTACATAGTAACCGGCTGCAGATTGAAACAGCTCGCTGGATGACAGTTTCAGACTCAGACAGCTCATGACAGCTTTTCTGAGCTGGCAGACATGGCAGAGAAACCTAACTAAATGCAAAAAAAAAAAAGTGAACATTTCATCCGATGTATCCTTTAAGTTTACTTCACATTTAATCCATTGTACCATACCATTCAAAATGTTGTGGTCTATACGATTTAATTTAATTTTATATTATTTATTTTTTAATTAATACTTGTATTCAGCAAAAATGTATTTATCTGATTGATTGAAAGTGACAATAAAGATATTTATAATATTATAAAAGATTTATATTTAAGATAAATGCTGTTGTTTTGAACTTTCTATTCATAGAAACAAGAAAAAATATGTATTGTGGTTTCCACAAGAACACAATTTTAAACATTTATAATGATAAGAAATGTTTCCCGAGCACTAAATCAGCATATTAGAATGACTTCTGAAGGATCATGTGACACTGAAGACTGGAGTAATGGTGCTGAAAATCCAGCATTGCTATCACAGCAATAAATTTCGTAATATATTAAACATTTTGTAATATATATATATATATATATATATGAGAGAGAGAGAGAGAGAGAAAACTGTTCTTTTAAATTGTAATAATATTTTATAATATTACTGATAATATTTAAACATGAAAAAAATCTTACTTCAAACTTTTGAGTGGAAGTGTACATAAATTTATGTTGTTCACGTTTATGTTTATGTAATCAAAAAGAAAAAAAAAACATTATGTATGCTTTTTAGCACCACATCCATTTTGTGCATTATCCATCAGGTCAGCACAGGGGGCACATCATCCTTTTAAACGCTGTGTCCAGAGCACTCAAATGATGCATCCCATGGCTGAGATCCTGGGTTCAAATAATGGCTGTCTGCAGGGATGCCTCTGGCTGGATTTTAGTAACGCTGAGCCAATAATGGATAACCTCTCTTCCGTCACCTCAACCGTTGTCATGGTGAGGTCACACCTGTGGGTACCGAACTAATCTGAGGGAAAAAAGAGCTCAGCAGCACCTGTGAAAGAAAGTGTGCTCTTCACGTCGTGTGATTGGGGGTGCAGACTTCAATTTCATCGACTGTGTGGCTATGATCTATGGGTTATCAAAACAATACAGAGAAATAAACATACATTTGATCAAAAATAAGGTAAAACCATATTATTGTGAAATAGCATTAGAATTTAATGTAACTTATGAATGTTTATATTTCAGCAGCTGTTACTTAAACACATGATACTTCACATGATACTTCAGAAATCATTTAGATATACTGATTCAAGAAACATTTCTTATTACCAATGTTTAAAACAATTGTGCTGCTTAATATTTTTGAAACTATGATACATTTTGTTTTTCAGGATTCTTGATGAATAGAAAGTAACATTTTAAATGTTTTTACTGTCATTTTTGATCAATTTAATGTGTTCTTGCTAAATAAAGTATTAATTTTTTTTTAAATATGGCAACTTAGGTATAAGTCACAGGAGGTTGGGGACAGGCACTGATTTCCAGGTGGAGCCATATGATGTTTGTAACTCATTTGTAACTAATGAAAAGGGTCCACCAGGCCTTGTGCTGTTTACATGGATCTCATCTTCCTTCTCTCTCTTCTCTTTTTTTTTTTCTTGGATTATCAAATGGTTGCTGTTCTGGAAATATGATCATCTATCTTGTGTTTTCATGACCACTTTGAACTGTCCCAAATCTTGCTGCTAAAAATTGACATTTTGGACAGGAAAGTTTTTATACTGTATATGAAGCTGTATATTGCGTAAAGCATCACATCAAACTCACTCAGGACGCTTATAGTTTCTAAAGTTTTTTTATGCATCACTGTTCATTTTATCCCTGTATGTGGGCAAGAACAAAACATAAAGAACAGTGAAATCGCCCGAAGTAACATGCACTTCTCCTTTGACTTGCCCACACTTGGTTACAGTGTCCCTCAGGAGATGGATTACATGAGCTCCAATTTGTTTATTCCCATTAGCAGTTGTGCCACAGAGTTTATTATCATAAAGTTATCTTTTCTAAACTTTGTTGAGTCACTGGAGATGCCCACAAGTCATCTTAATCTCGCCTCAAGTGGCCAATTCACATTGAAAATTAATGACTTGGCTGTCAGTGCGAATGATCCCTCTTCAGCAGCTGAAGGGAGACTGACCTCTCTCTTGAAACAAACACACACACAATGTAAACCCATTTAGATGTTATATTGCACAATGCAAGAACAGATTTTAGGTTGAAGGCAGACGGAAAATGGCCAGAGTATTTATTTCCCCTAGACTGACGCGTATTCTCTCACACCTCACAACAGACTTCATTTCCCCAACACAGTTGACTGTTAAACTCTGTGCAGTCAAGCGTCAAAATCAATTTGTTGAGCCATTGAGCTGTGTCATAATTTCCTGTGTAAAAGCAATCTTATAGAATGACTTCAAGCATAAGTTACAAAATAAACCATTTTAGGTGTGTGGAGACTATCACACGGTAAACACTTACTCACACTTCCATGGTGCATTTTACTAAAACGTGAGGCACTAAATAAGATTACTTTCAAGGTCCAACTCGCCTGTCATGCCACAATAAAAGCAAGGTAGTTCAGATAGCTATAATCAGATTAAAAAGTGCTCTTTTTCCACCTCATAAAAACTCACAGACCCTATACTGTTGCTCTGAAAGATCTGATTGCCGTGTGTCAAACTTCCTTCCTCTTTCAGTACACTTCTACTCCTCAGTGGCTCTCTGTTTACCAGGAACTGGCTCCACATATAATTACCTCCCTTGCTGCTTTACACCTTCAGCCTCTGTGCTCAAATACAGTTTTGCTCTTGTTACCTTCCAGCCAAACCCTGCAGCAGACGAACCCTCACCAAAGAACAACCGCGATGCCCTATGGAAACAGTTTCGGCACTCATTATCGACCAGCACAATCCACTGGGTAGCTTTGAAATTGTTTAGGAGGACTGTGCTGAGACCGGTTTATGTAAGAAAATGACAGAGGAAAAAGCTTGTTAGAGAGGAGGACAGTCAATTTGTGTCTGGATGGAGAATTAGAAAATGAGCTATTTGGGTTTGGGGGATTCAGTGTAATGCAACTGGGTCAATTGATCGAGTTGAATTGTTACACAGAGATGAGATTTGTCTTGGCTGTTGTGTTGTTGTCTTATCAATCAATTTGTGGTGAGGATTTGTTGTGGAATAACATTTCAAACCCACTTAATACTTTATTTACAGAATCGAACAAGACGCCAGATCATTAAAAACTAGCAGAGGAAACGTGTATTGCTGTTATGTGATGTTCAATCATTATAAGTAGTGAATTTTTTTGTTTCATAAGATGTACTTGTTAATTTTTCAAAACTCAATGAAATTATGTTTTTCTTTTTTGAGTTTTGATTTTGATTAGTTCTTTTGTAGTTCTTTTGTGTTGTTGATTAGTTCTTTTTTGTGTCTCCAGTGATGTCAAACCTCCAAGAATAACCTATTTGATTTTAATTATCAAGTGTTGAAACTGGTAGCTCCATGAATCTCTCCACGCTGTGACTGAAGCTGTAACCTCAGTCAGCACAAATTGACTCGCTCTGATTCTTACAGACCTGTAAACTGAAATTTGATTCATATTCAAATGATCAAATCATACAATGAAGCCAGTGACTTGGACACCCCACCTCAAACTGATCACTGCTATAACAACATCTGGTTCTCTATATCTATATCTACCTTATATATGTCTAGGCCCAGGCATAAGATCACTACACTCTTAATGGTATCTGAGAGTGCTATCAAATTAATCAAAATATTTAATAAATTAATATACAAGGAAAAGGGGATTTTCAGATTTTTTTTTATAAATGATGGCTGTTCCAATTCTGCAGAAATCTGCTGAGCTTTCTGTAGATTATGGAAATGACCGGCTCTACAATTGTATGATCATTGTGAACACTTCATGACTTGTGGCTTCTTGAGGACAAGTTAGTACTTTTCATCTTTAATGTTTTTTGAAGTTCTATCAGTTACCAGTGTTAACTGAAAGTATTAAAAATTGTATTCAATACTTAAAGTAAATATTATATAAATATTAGATGAAAAACGTTAACGAAAATAAGACATGTTGTTTTGGCAACTTACAGAAATAAATAAGATTAAGAATTTACTAAAATTATATACTAAAACTCAAATAAAACAAAAGCTGAAAAGAAAAATATGCAATCAAATTAAAACAACAAAAAAACAAAAGCTAATTAAAAATATTAATGAACACTATTATAGTATACAAAAAATACTACACCAACACTGATCAGCACTAAACCTGAAGTGAAGTAACTTGACAAACTGAACATGACAATTTGGAAATATTCATAATGAGAAGTCATCACTGTGCAACTTCATTCAGCATAAAAAAAGAACATTAGAAAGAGTGGAAGACTACCTGTTGCTATGGTAACAAGAGCTCTCAACATGTGGATGGGATTATGCTTATGCCATGTGTCATTCTACATGTTTGTCATGGACTAAAATATAATGAACTAAATATAACGCAAACAGCATACCCTTAACCACTGCTTTTCCGTCAATGTGTCACTGTAGTCGACATCTCTGCGGTGACGTGATCCACGACCGAAAATCTTTTCATCATCCTCTTCGCAGGTAAGCCGCTCCACCTCAGCATCATCCTTCAGGATCCATGATGGCAACTCATCTTCCTCCATTAGCCGAGGTTTACGTTTAGGGTTGCGCGCATCCTCTCGACGACGGTCTAAATCCATGCGCTAAAAGTGCCATTAATAGATTACGCAAGTTTGAAAGTAATTGGTGAGTTTCCTGTTCTAGTCCTAAATAGATTCAAATTGCACAAAAACATGAGGCTTTCTTTTCAAAGAGACAACAATTACTGTGAATCACCATGCAAGGGACTATCTGTGCAAGTAGCAAATTTTGTGTAATTTCAGTCTTACCATGAAGAGCTCAAATTCGTCCTCATTTCGAGCAATCATTTGATTGAGAGTTTCATCATCTGGAATTTCATCTTCCTCCTGGTATCACACACATATGCCAACAAACACAATTAGGACACATTTATTTTGCGAGTAGCATTTTCATATCTGGCAAAGTGGATTTTTTGCCTTAGACAATTTTGATTGTTCAAATCATAATAGCACCAGAACAGGCACAACATGACACCTAAGAAATGCTTTGTTCTGTTCCTGTAAGTAATTCAGCTCAACTTTACTGCACTCCGGGGCTAGTCTACCAAAATTGCATGGCTTTTCCTTAGTCTTTGTCGCACTCAAAATCAATAGAAAAACAGACATTGGTCTCAGCTGAATTGCATTCTCTTATGGGTCAAAGCATAATTTATGTCAGCGATAAACTGCAATTTGTTGAACAAACTGCAGTGACATTATAACGAGACAGACAATGAATGATGAGTTGAGCAAAGGAAAAAAAATCAATTCATCTACAGATCACCATTTTATTCTTTGCAATTGTGTACCAATACGTAAAGCTGACATATAACAATGTTTAAATATTTTGAAGCAGCTGTAAGAGCTTTTTTGTGGTTGTAGTGGGTAAAGTTGTAGCAACCTGCTATTATATGATGTTTGCAGTAACTTAGTTTGTCCTTTAACGTTTTCTTTTAAACCATTAAAAAGGTTGAACTAGAGGAAGTTAGCTCATAAGCACCAGAATCACAAAAATCATCACAGGGTATCTGCAGGTATCAGCTCTTCCAATTTAAAACTTTTTAATACCAATGTCAAAACATCTCCAAAAAGTTTTAAGACCTGCACATCACTTCCATCAGGTTTTATGCGAGCACAAGAAATCATCCTGCTCAAAAGAGATATATACGAATGAAAAACTGACCATTTTCAAATTTCTGGGTTTAAATAATCTACTGTATAACAGGGTAAACTTCCACAGAGGTATATAGGCATTTATGTAGGCATTAGGATTATGGCTGTCAGAAGAGACAGTGATGTAAAATTTACCATTACTCCCTCAGCAGCTGTATTCTAAACCCCTTCACAGCTGTATTTGTTTTGTTTATATTTGTCTGGAATTTAACATATAAAAAAAAATATAAAAAAACTCTTTTTGTAATATTAACATTGCACTGAAAATCTACAATAATAACATTTTTATCTGGGAATACAAATAGTAATATAACAAGAGAAATATATATCTGACTCCGGTCACACTTTATTTTAAGGTCCAATTCTCTCTATTAACAAACCATTAACTATGACCTTTGCCTCAATAAACTCCTAATTTGCTGCTTGATTAATAGTTAGTAAGGTAGTTGTTAAGTTTATGTATTGGGGAGGATTAGGGATGTAGAATATGGTCATGCAGAATAAGTGCTTTATAAGTACTAATAAACAGCCAATATGTTAATAGGCATGCTAATAAGCAACTAGTTAATAGTGAGAATCGGTCCCTATACTAAAGTGTTACCCTGACTTCTTCTGAATTGATTGTTATGCATTAGACGTTGGGGCTTTAATTTTTAACAAAACAAAAAAAAACTGCAGGAAGACCTATGTTTAGCTAGCAACAGTTTTAAATTCACTCATTTCAAATCATGCTGTAAATCCCTGCCCACAAAAATGTTTGAGATTATTCTAGCATAAAAACAAATTGAATCTGGTGAGTGCTGTGTTCTAACTGTGGTTTTTAAGCAACTCGAACTCACAGCAAAGGCAGAGATAGAGTTTGTGTGGAGAGGCATGTCCTGTGAACCGAGCCACTCTAAAACATTGTTTGAAGTGCTCTAGATGCTCTAAGTGCAAGACAGTGACATGATTTTATGATTTCAAAAAACAATGAGCAAAAATAAAATCTAAATCCTCATGGCTTTGTTGGTTAAATTGCATTTTAAGACCTTTGAAACATAGACTTAAGATATTTTGATTGTAATTATAGCCTTAATTTTACATTAAGTTAACTTTGTAATAATAATTTTTACATAAGATACACATTTTTAAGACTTTTTAAGGATTTGGAGACACCTTGCATCAATTAGAAATGGATATGATTACATACTACTCAAGATTTATGGAGTAAAATATCTGTAATTTAACTGTAAACATTTAATATAAAATGGGCTAGTTCACCCCAAAATGAAAATTCTGTCATCATTACTCTCCCTCATGTCAATCTAAACCTGAATGACTTTCTTTCTGTGGTGGAACATTAAAGAAGAAAGAACATTATTTTGAAAAAAAAAACAAAAAAAAACTTTTTTTTTTGTTTTTTGTTCTGTTCATAATATCCAAACATACTTCAACTGTTGTTTTCCACATAATAAAGAAATTCCCACAGGTTTGGAAAGACATGAGGGCGAGTAAATTATGACAGTTTTCATTTTTGGGATTTTACTATCCATTTAAAGGTGCAGTAGGAGATATCTTGGAAAATGCTAGCTTTAGCCTGATAGAACTGAAAGCGAACATCCCATCCTCCCTGCAATCGCCGTCCAAAGCCACGGCCCCGAACGCATGAACGCTCACAGACCAGAAGAGACAACATTACTACAACAGGCTACATCAGCTGTTCCCAATTCCAGTCATCATTCTCTTCTAACGAGCTGGTTATCTGAATCAGGTGTGTTAATTAAGTGAGACATGCAAAATATGGGGAGGCGCGAGGACTGGAATCATTCCATAATCATGGAATCACTGGGCTACATCATGTGTCATTCTTTACAGTACAGTTAGTAAAATTACTACAACTTTATAGTACAGTTAGTAAAAGTACTACAATACCAGAAAGGAAGATCGGTTTGTTGATGTTTGACTGCCATTCTCGCTCTGTCTGCACAGCATGCGTGAACGCGCTGATGACGTATCCTGTCTGTGCGAACCGGATGCGCAGAGGTATGCTAATACATACGTTGACAGGCAGGTAGGAAAGCCAATTAAAACGCTCGGACCGAGCGTTTTGATTGGATGAACATTTCTTGGTCCTACGCCTTCCACAGAATATATAAATACAGATAAATACATTTAGACCACTTAACTTAATGATTGCTTTTGGGATGTGAAGAGATTTTCAACCAGCATAACAAAAAACATTTCTGAAGACAATCACCTATTGCACCTTTAATGCTTTTCATTTTGAATAGTCTTTGTTACATATTTTTTTAAAGATCAGCTGACTGCAATCCGATCACTGAAAGCCCCTCCATAGAAGACAAGGCTCAGCTAAGTTGAAATGCATCTAGTTGTTCAAGCCACATACATAAACTTTACTCCTCCCAAAGAGGCATCAGAGTACAGAAGTTTGAAAGCCCCGCAATCCACACACATGAGTGAGCAATCATGTATGGAGAAACCATGAAACTCAAACACTAATTGCTATGTGGGCTGATGAGAGCATTCCACAGAAAATTTCACCACCTGGTATTTGCATCAACTCGGAAATGAACTCTGTTATATTAGCATATTTATATTTGTGGGAATAGTAGATTGGATTTATATCCATTTTGTGAAAACACATTTATGTGGAAAAGTGGAACTTGAATGCGCATAGCCAATTGGATAGTGATCCGAGCGATCAAGTGACTAAGCATAAATTGGCCCAAAAATACAATCACATGTATGCTTTCATACTGGCTAATAAATGAAAAAAAAAAAAAAAAGGCACTTTTTGTTTTTGGCCCTTTTTTCCAATACTTTTCACCTCAGTGCATCACTAGATACAATTTGCCAGTCTAATTTAGTCAGAGTGAAACATTACTGCCATCTGTGCCTAAAGTGGCTCACCTCATTCTGTTCCTCGTGCTCCAGAATAGCCTGCAGGAAGGCTCTGCGCTCATGGCTGGAGGACTTCTGATCAAACATGCCTGCCTGAATGACTTTCTGATCAACATTCAGTTTATACTTGGCCGCCGCTAAAATCTTCTCCTCCACACTGTTAACAGTGCACAGACGCAAAACGCGTACTTCGTTCTGCTGGCCGATACGATGGGCTCGATCCTGGGCCTGCAAGTCCTGGTGATTGAAACCACAGTTGTGTGTGATTAATATAGTTATATCAATTACAATCACAGTGAGAGAATGCTATTAAGAGAAGGCACAGTGCACTCTTTCTGACATGTTCTTTAGAGAAGGAAAAATAAACACTTCAAATTGGCTGAAGATCGCTGTTGTGCTTTATGTAGAGGCAGATGGAGGAGCAATTTTAGCATTTTCTGCTGAAAATGCGTGGGGAAAAAGTTCAAACTTCATAAAATACAATAGATCCAACCACCCAACACCACCTCCATACGAATTAAAATATATAAATGAATAAATAAACCAACAAATACATACTTTTTAAACTTTACTTCAAAATCTATACTTGTCCATGGTTATTTGGAAAAACTGTTGTGGTGTTAGATGCTATACTTCAAAACTATTTTAAACAGCCTTTTGCTTATTATTTTGCATGTAGCTTTTATTGACTCATATTAACTGAGAGACTACATGTAATATTTGTACTTTAAAAAATTATTTTTTTCCCCACATCCAGAACCATTAAAAAAGTAAACATTTAAATGAAGAAATTTAGAAGTACACACTACTGTTTAATTGTTAGGGTTTGGTATGATTTTCAAAAAATACAGCAAAAACTGTGAAATATTATTACAATTTAAAATAACCGTTTTTTTTTCTTTTAAATATACTTTAAATTTTAATATACTTTAAATTAAATTAACATTTTGTTTCCAAATTCTTTGATAAATATAAAGTTCAGAAGAACAGAATTTATATGAAATTGTCTTTACTGTCACCTCTGATCAATTTTCAGCATTATTTTTTAATTATCAGCATGCATTTTTTCTCAATTTTCGGCAATCATCCTTGCTGAATAATAGTATTCATTTCTTTCCAAAAAGATGTTACTAACTCCAACCTTTTGGACAGTATTTTATGTTTTTCCTTTTACCTCAACAAGGTGTATCACGCATACTATAAGATGTCTAGAACTCTGATCTGGAGATGACAGATCACTGCCGAACTTTTAACAAGCCATACGACTGTCTAGTTCCTCTCTAATCACATTAGTGATTCACACAAACCTGGTGGGGGTTCCAGTCGCTGTCAAAGATCACAACGGTGTCTGCAGCTTGCAAGTTGAGGCCCAGACCTCCTGCCCTGGTGCTCAGCAGGAAGATGAAAAACTGTGAGCCTTCATCATTGAATTTCTTTAAAAGCATTGCACGATCTTCACACTTCGTAGTTCCTGGAGGACACAACCAGCAGCAGGCATGTGTTAATGAAAGAGAAAGGGCAGTCTATTAATGTGATCACACTCATTGTAAAAGTGGTGGACTATCAATTGGAAATCCCCAGAATTGAGGTCCTAAAGGACAGGAAAACATTAAAGGAGGAATGCACTGATTACTGACCATCCAGACGCAAATAGAGGAAGTTACGGAAGGCAAAATAATCCTCCATGATGGTCATGAGGGTGGTCATCTGACAGAACAGAAGCACTCTGTGATTGGTGGCCTTCAGCTTGGGCAGGATGCGGTCCAGTAATTCAAACTTGCCAGAAGCGCGGTACAGGTCAGGGCTAGGTGGACAAGAAACAAAGCATGTCTAAAATGTCAACACCTTCATCATGGTGCACCTCCACTCTCTGGGTCATCTAACGCAGGGGGCCTGCGGTGTGTTTAATTATCCATATTTGACATGAATGAACACATCATGGTAACTCTTAAGGTTATGTAACACTCAATTTGATCCGTATTCACTAGGAGTGGGACAATAAATCGAAGTGCCGATTTATCGCGATATTTCCGGCCGCGAGACGTTATCGATACTCTGGCATTAAGTATCGATATTTTTTTAAACATACAAAAGATCTAAATTCATACATACACTGTGGCTGTTTATCACTTTGGCTTACCGGAGCGGTAGTACCTCCAGACTTCTTGTGGTGGCGCTTCCCAGATTGCGGATGGTCAGATGAACGGAAATTGTAATTCACAGCAAAGAAGAAATACGAGCGTAATGGTAGACCAAGGCTGCATTCCACTCCACTTTTAGACACGCACTCGCGAACTTCCCTAAGCACTTCCCCTCGGGGGAATCCCCGCTGCATTTTGAAGTGCGTTCCACTTCGTGAAGTGAACGAGGGAAGTTTATATGGACAGACCCTCGACCCTTCGATTTTGACCGAGGGAGCGAGTCTGCTTCATATGCACACTTCAGGCACA